TAGTGCTGGTGTTGCAGCAAGCTCGGCCACGTCAAGGACTTCGCCAACGATGGGGATGAGAGCCTCAAGAGCCTCGAGAGGCGCGAGAAGAGCGGGAACCGCGAGTCTGCAGAACGCCTTCGCGGCGATGTCTAGCGCAGCTTGTTCTGCGGCCGCTTCGACAGCCGCCTTGGCTTCGTCCTCGGCCTTCTGCTTTAGTTCATCGGGTGACGGAGCCGGCTTGAACTCTTTACAGCAGTAGCTCTGAATACCGCCCGTGCAGGTTTGGTCTCCGCTCTTGCCGTGGTTGTTCGTGTCTTGTAGGACCTCGGTCTCGCCATCAGCACAACCTCCCATGCAGAAGAGGCCGATGCCACGGAATCCTCGCCACTTGCAGGTACCCATCGTAGTGCCATCGCCACAACAGAGCGAACGGTACTCGCCCTTATTGCAGCGACCAGATGTAGATAGTTTACCCGGCTGGCCGTTCATCTGCGTCACTTCGTTGGTGCCCTTTTTGCACTTGGCTCCACAATCTGTGGAGTAGCAAGTAACACCAGCGACGAGATCATCACGCATTTGTTCGGCGTCTTCCTGGTCTTGCGTGGTCACTCCCGGTGCCGGCGCCAAGCTGTTGTCAGCAGATTGGTCTACTTGGTCCATGGCCCATACCTGTCATTTCGCGTTAGCCCGAGCACTGGTGGCAACATTGTTTTCACTTACCATGGTCCCGCCAAGACAGCGATTATTTGCAAACTTACGCTTCTGATCGAAGGTGTCATCATCGTCATACGAAACCCATTGATCGCTATCCCAGGTTATCCACTTGACAGCCGCAGCCTTATCCCATTGGGGACTGAGATTATTGCTCTTTACGGTGTCCTTGATCTCCTGAAGGTCGAGGATGCCGCTAGCTTGGGAACATTCGCCGGGCTTGGCGCCGCCGGTGAATTTGCAAACGCCATTAGGGGTGTTACATGATGGGTCCGCGAGGGTGAAGCTTCTTCCGTACCATCCCATACCTAGAACGACGTTTTCGGGTTGTGACGCCAACAACAACCGTCACCACTACTGCTAATTCCGTCTCGGGGGGGAATGCTCCCTCGCCGACTCAAGACGGCCTAGTTACTAGTTGTAACAACTACGCCATGGCCTCGGCCGACGATGGTTGCTTCAGCTTCGCCTCGGCGCACAGCATCCCAACCTCGGCATTATACGAGTGGAACCCGGTCCTCGGCTCGGACGGCGCGGCGTGCACCACCGCATTTTGGGCCTCCGAATATTACTGTATCAGCGTGTGGGCATCCACCACGTCTCCAACGTCCGTGACGGCGCCGGGCCCGACGCAGACGGGGATCGTCGCCACGTGCGACAAGTTCGCCGAAACCCAGTCCGGCGACGGGTGCGAAAGCTTCGCGGCCCGGAACAACATCACGCCCGCCCAACTGTACGAGTGGAACAGCGTGCTAGGCGTCGACGGGACCAACTGCGACACCATGCTCTGGGGGGAAGAGTGGTATTGCGTGGGCGTGTCGGGTAGCAGCTCCACGACCACGACCACGACGCCGACGTCCACTGTGCAGACGTCGACCTCGACGGTTGTCACGGCGCCGGGGGAGACGCAGACAGGCATCGTGTCGAACTGCAACAAGTTCGCAGAAGCAACGCCGGGGCAAGGTTGTTCCGACTTCACCACTGCGAATAGCATCACAGCAAGCCAGCTGTACACGTGGAACACGGTCTTGGGACGTAACGGTGAAAACTGCGGGACCATGCTGTGGGGGAATGAGTGCTATTGTGTTGGTGTTAGTATCTAGTAGTCGAGCTTACGGTGCCTTCGATGCCAATATGTGTTGATCGCACTGCTGGCATTCCAAGCACTTCTGACTTTGTCATCATATCCTAATTGAGGAACTCACTAGGAACACCTGTCTTATCATAATCTATGTTCCTTCTGCACATCGTCAACTATTAGCCCAGGATATAAATGTCTCGCCGATTGGGGATAACTCACACGTAGTCAGGCTGAGCTCGTTTCCATTCGAGCAAAGCCCGTCTACACTCGTCTCGTTTGAAGTCGTGAGGCCAGCCGTGCTCTTTGTAAATGCGAACCAGATGCTAGAACTCAAATCGTTAGACCAGCTTCTGACCACGACAGAGAAGTGAACTACCGTGGTATCATCTGCCCACTTCCCCTTGGGCTGCGGATCGTCTTCTTCGCTATCACTGTCATCACCCTCTTCATCATCATACGGTATCCAGCCGGTCCGGATGGCAGATAACTTCTTATTTGGAATGCCAAGCCACTCCATATTCATGTACTTCTGGCGCCACCTGTCTAAGAACTCTCGTATCGGCAAGGTCTCGTCGCAGCACCGATCACGCCAGCTCCGAGGGTCGCCCTCAGGGTACGTAGGCTCGTACACATAATACATGGAATAGTATCTTGTCACAGTGCCGTCCGTCGTATCCAGCAGAAGCACCCATTCCTCCCGATCCCTACCTGTAGTTAGCTGCACTACCCACTCGGGCCACTCCTACTCCGCCCGCGAGTTGCGCTGCAGCCAGCGACCGGCCGGTGGTTGAAGCTCTCGCAGGTCGGGTCTGCTCACGAGACGCCAGCCGCACGCGAAGCACTCGGGCGCCATCCAGTTGAAACGCTCTCCGACCTCGCCCCGTATGTAGGGCAGGTGGCGAAGCAGCTCGACTGCCTCATCCGGCTTGTGGATGTCTCGCTTGGCGAGGGACTCCCTCGTGATCTCGGGCCAGCCACCGGGTGGTGCATGGTCAATGGCAGATGAGTCTATGTGAGGTAGCGTAGCGAGAAATTGGTAAAATTCAGTCAATGCAGACACAATTTCTTGTCTGGAGTAACGCGCCGGTTTCCTAGGCGCGGGTCGGGCGACAGATTCGAATCAGCCATCATGGCGTTTGTAGAGAGTAAGATTGAATATTACAAAGTCGGGGCTGGCCAGTTCACTTAAAACCGCCCGGCGACTACTGTGCCAGATTACCGTGGGAGGACGAGTTAGCACTATGTCTCGGAATTATAGGAGACATTAGCGCTGAATCACGCTGAATCGCGCTAAAATTACAAAACATTACAGCGCGTACTCACTGTAATCATTTCACCTCTCGTATGGTTCACGATTGTTTCCAGAAACGTTGAGTTGGCTCAGACTTAGGATCTCAGGAATAAAAGCTTCATCCTACATCCAATGAAAGGAAGGGGAAATAAACAGATCACGTCACAATTGCGCTCTCGCCCGGGTTCAACCCTAGGAAGAATTACGTTGCCTTGTCTCCGCTAACAAGATCGTCATATTATATACTACGTACTGCAGCGTAAGACACAACACAGAGCAGAATTTGAAATCCCCATTTCAGTCAAAGTAGAAAGGGCTGCTAGGTCGTCTTATGGGCTCGTCCACCTTCTTTCTCCCCACAGTAAGACTGAAAGGACCAGGATCGTCTTCATCTTCTTCAGATTCGGGCTTATTCTTTCCCATCGTGAAGCTGAAAGGGCCATCATCATCCTCTTCTATAGGTTCTGCCTTCGCGACCTCTTTCTTCACGACAGTCGCTGGATTCCCACGAACGTTGGCGTCTGCGGGGACATCGTCTAATACTACCGCGCCCGCCGCAACGATGGCGCCGTTGCCGATTGTGACGCCAGGACCGACCACTGCCGAGGCGCCAATCCAGACACGTTCGCCGATGCGGACGGGCGCACCCGTCATCTTTCGGTTCCCCCTCTCCAGGAGCGCCTCTGTCATCGGGACTAGGGGAGGTCCTGCAGAGCTTATGGTGACGTTGGGCCCGATCGTGCAGTATTTCCGGATTACGACGTCGGCAACGGGTGTGTCTAGAATCCTGCAGTTGCTATCGATGGATACGGTAGAGTGGATGGACACGCGGCTGCCGTAGTCTACGTGAAATGGTGGCAGAACAGTTGGGGCCGAAGCAGTCGGCGTTAGAGGATTCAACTCAGGCCTAATGATCGTCATGAAGGCCGAGTTTCTTAAGCTCGCTCTGGTGTGTTTACTAAGGCTATTGTACTCGGCGCAAGCCTGAGCAGCTCTCTGGCGCTTTTCTCTAACGTCATCTCGGGTTGGGTGGAAGGCGACGGCCTTGTTCAAGGGAAGCATATTTCGCTTATAGGAACAAATATTGAGTACGAATAGGGATAATAGACGGCAGGAGTTCGCGTTTAGGTCGTTGGTTCTTCTGCTCTATATGTGTTACTCTTCAATTCCCGCTAAGTTGAATCAGTAAACCAGATACCTACCTCCTAGTGATCTAGGAATGAGCTAAATATATTCTTTCAATCGTCGTATAGTTTGCTTCAAGCTAAGTAATACTGAATGAAAATCTCTGACAGGAAAGCAAACGTTGATCTGTCCATTGCGCGCAATCCTCCGAAAAGAGATCAAACCATATCGTACGTAAACAAAACAAATCAGATCTTTGCTTTTATGTGAGTCAATGATGACAAAGGTTTCATGATGATCGTCTGGAATATTCTTTGTATTGTCATCGTAAATGCGGACAATACTGGGGAGCTTCACCGATTCCTTTATGGCATATGTTAGCTGTAGGGGAATAGGAATTCACCTACATAAGGTTAATAGGGCTTTAAATCTATTTGGTATGGTACTTTCCCAGCTGAAGCCCTTACGGCAGGACTGCGAACCTTATATTCAAACACGACTTTAAATTAGCCGGTTTCATTATCAGCTGGCACATGAGCATATGGTCACACGCAACAGAGTATGACGCTATTGGCAATGAATTTACAGAACTCGGCTGGCCAGGAAGGTGCCAGGCTTAATTAGTTCTTTCCCTCAACCGTCATATATGTCCTTGTGAACTGGTGTAGGTACTTACATGGTATGTGGCGTGATCACTGCAGTAGCTAGTTGAGGCCTTTAAAGGCACATGAGTCCAATTACCAGGCAGAGTCTCCCACAACACTGTCCAGCAGCATCTACTGGATGCCTGATGGCCTAGTCGGTTAGCAGGCCTACTTGGAGTAGAGGTTAACTCATCGGTGTCCGACTCTCACTGTCAGATAGCCGGGAACCCGGGTTCGAATCCCGGAGTAGGTGATCTTTTTGTATTTTATTAATTTCGTTCGTAACATTCGCCTTTAATACACCCCTTTCCCACTATTATGTGGCATCTACTTCTGCTGTCTATTGTGATGCTGTAGCCCCTTATGGAGTTGTTGTTCGCAGCAATGCTTTTTGTCTGAGTCACCACCTGCCAATAGCATTGTCCTCCAAGCCCAATTTCCTATAGAAGAGGTCAAGGGGCAAAGGGCTAGATTCTTGATAGTTGTGTTAAATTTCGGACATTCAACCCCTACGCCCCTTCTACTTGCTTATAGGCAATTCGAGCTACGGCCGCGAGATACAAAAGGGGCAAAGTTGGGAATATACATATAAATAAAAGGCTCTCGTATAGACATAGCGATGACTTTATTATAAACACGGCGGATCGAATATAAGGCTAAACATAAGACTCATAATGTCGATTTTCCCTTAGAGTAGAGCTAATTAATAGCAAAACTAATATAATACTGTCAAACAGTTTATTAATACGACCAATAGGACTAGGTTATTCCAGTTTGCCAAGCAGGTATAACAATAAAATCTATGGGTTATGACTGAAGTGAAATCGAATTCTCAGATGACCAAGTGTACGGTGGTATAGGCGGCTGATGTCATGTCCGCTATCTTCAAACTATTGCTTTCGTGGATCAAGTCTGCAATTACATATGCCCGTATAGAATGACATGTTGCGAATCATACCAATTTAGCTGAAGAGAAGGTGATAAACAGATAGATTCCGCCATAGCACCAGGCGTTTGATGCTACGTTTGGCTTATGGAAGTGGTTTATTATGAGCTGTTTGGAGGAATGTGATTCCACAAACTTCCTCAACGTCAAAGTCTAAACATATGATCAGGGTTAGTGTTACAGATATAAATACAGGCCTCTATCATGTTCATCGCTCTCAACGGTAGCATTAAAGAAGAGAACTTCAGCACTCTCTAAGACGACAGAAATATCACAAACATGGCTCCCCTCATTGACTTCAACGCCGAGCGTGGCGATGACCCTAAGAAACTCGGGATTCTCAATTTGGAGAAGTGCAGGGGTGACAGGCCCGATGCAAACACCGAAGACTTGTATATTAAGTTAGGTGAAGATTGGAAAGGAACGAAATGTGCCCATTTCCACCACAAAGCTGGATACCGCAGGTGGAATTATATCTTCTCGACTCTGGTGTTACCGAGACTAACGTAGAATACCGTCAGGGCTGAGTATCGCGCATTGAAGGGCGAGACTAGAGTAGGAAGAACCTACTTCATCACGTATAAGCTCGCCCTCCAGGTAAGACTCCTGGCCCCATTATCTCCGTGAATCACTCCTCCAAAAGCGCCAGTTACACGCAACGACTGTATTGAGATTTATCCTTGACGCGACGTGAGGATTTACCAATCACTAACATTTATCATTGTGAATTCTTAGCAAAAACCCGACGGCCTCATCCTCTTCCAATGGGAAGATTTCAAGGCCAACAACAATCAATACATGGAGGCCATCATCCCACTTTCGCTGGAGGTACGCCAGAACCAACTGGCCTTCTCTCACACCTTCAAGCGGGATGAAGGCCGCAAGGTGGAGTGGACGCATGACATCGAGCCGCACAAAGAGCACAAAATCGGCCTGGAGATCTTCGCGAAGGCGGAGAGCGGATACGTGAAGCTCTGGTTTGATGGCAAGCCGGCCACCTTCAACACCAGCAAGGCTCAGGTCCTAATGGGCAACATGTTCCCCGGCCAGAGCGAACCGAAGTTTGGCATTTTCGGAGGCGAGGATGTTCAGGTTGATTCTTATGTCTACCAGGTGCAGATTGGTACGGACAAGGGCGATGTTGACCAGAGTTACTTCGGGGAGTGAGGGACATGGATTGTCACGAAACGGAAGCTGAAGTTTCTTTCTTCCGTACTCTGAATACGTCGATTGTTGGACCGCTTTGGTATTTTCTGCGTTTTTGTCCTTGTATGGCCTAGTAGTTCGATTATGATTAATACGAATTTATTGCTGGTCTAGCTCTGGACCAACATTCGGTTCCACTCGTAGACATACGTAGACAAAAGCCGGAGCGCGCTCCATGCATAAACCTCAATCCTGCACAGCTGGGATTATTGAATTCGTTAATCTGACTGCATCGCCTAATTTCTCACATGCATAAAAGAGCCCCGAGGCTCAAATACCGGGGGGTTTTGGTAGGAACGCGACTGGAAGAAAACGAACAGCCCCTGCAGGAGGCATGAACCTATTCGACGTTAGATCCATGTAGCTACTCGGCACTAGTCTATGTCAGGTACGGCCGTATTATTCAGCTCGTTGTGCCGGCCCCGACTCCGCCCGTACCACGATCCTTTAGCAACCCTCGTGTCCCTTACCGCTACTCATATCCGAACGTACCGAGAGTTCGGCCCCCAATTCGCGTCCAGACCTCTACCGTAATCTTACCCCTGTGTAACCATTAGTTTTCGTTACTTGGTATTCTTTAGCGCTTCCTACCGACTTGACCCCCGACCAACAACCTAGGTACTCCCGAATATCATGCAGAAACCCGGAGTTATGCCAACACCGAAGTCCGAGAAAAGCGAACCGCCCACTCGCTTCGCCGTGGCGCTATTCCCGGGCTTCCAGGCGCTGGATGTGTTCGGGCCCCTCGACATCCTGAACGTGCTGTCTAGGAAGACGCCGCTGTCGCTGCGCGTCCTGGCTGCGACCCTCGATCCGGTCTCCACCCGGACCGATGGCACGGGCCATAGCACGGGTCAGGCCGTCGTGCCCACGCACACCTTCGCGGACGACGGCGACGATGACGTCGAAGTCCTGCTCGTGCCCGGCGGCTTCGGCACCCGAGACCCGGAAAATATGCGGCAGGTGGTCGAGTACGTGCGGGCCGCGTACCCGAGCCTAAGGTTCCTGTTGACGGTGTGCACGGGTAGCGCCGTGGCCGCCATGTCCGGGGTTCTGGACGGCCGGCGCGCGACCTCGAACAAGGTGGCTTGGGCGTGGGTACGTGGGCGCAATTTCCTCATTTCCTCTCTTTCTTTTCTTTCTTACCTACTTGTCTGTCACCCGCTAGAAGTGTATACTGATAAAAAGGCAAAAAGGCTACGGCGCAGGGGCCAAAGGTGCGGTGGGCACCGCGCGCGCGCTGGGTGGCGGACGGCAACATCTGGACGTCGTCGGGCATCTCGGCGGGCATCGACATGATGTACGCGTTCGTCGGCGACCAGTTCGGCGAGGACGTCGCGCGGGAGCTGGCCGACGCGGCCGAGTACGTCCGGAATACCGACCCGGGCGTCGATCCGTTTGCAGCCAAGGCGGAGAACGGAGCTGCGAAATAGGGGGGTCGGGCGAGGGGTACGTTCATTTGCGTTGATGGCGGGGGGCTCGATAGGTCGGCTGGGTTGGTAGATGGTAGATACCTAGGTTGGTAAGTAACCTAGACTTGGACGGCATGCGGAGTATGATATCCACTGTAGCACTATGGGATAGGGGCGGCTAAGAATGTTTATTCCTTATACCTTACTGGCCGTGGTCTCACTCCGTCGTCGTGAATATGAATACGTGGTTATGTTCTTGAAGCTATGCGGTGGTTCATTGTTAGAATATCATTCAACCCATCCGTAACATAACTCTCATTCGAATTTCCCCGAACATCATGAGCTGTCTAGGGAAAAAGCTGAATTGAATTGATGAGTAAGAATACCGCTTAGGGAAGATCCCATATCGATCTTCGTCTCCGGGGAGACTCCTTCGTGCTACATTACTATGCCCCCTTTTCTCCACTGGCAGGGGCATAATGCTGCCGGCTAAATAGGGTTTGCTTACTTCATAGAAAAGTGATCATTAAACATATACACACTACTCTAGTGTGCTAGGTTAGGGATAAGAGACAATGCCTACCTCCGCATTGGCGAACATAACGAGCGATGATACCTCGTTAGCTCCCAATAGACACAACCATAAGAAGGCGATGGACTTTTAGGAGCATTCACTCCGAAATTATAAAGAAGTGAAAATTTGTCGATTTAGGAGATTGACAGTATTGGCGGCCGGATTGGTCTGTTCTGGGAGCAAGTTTCAGAATGATCGAAGTCCTCTTGAGAGGGACGTTGTAACACCATGACTCCAAGTCTTATGCTCTATTCAGCAGCAGCTTGCACTGCTAATAACTCAGAGCAAGAGAAGAATAAAATAATTCAATGTGTTTGAAATCATTGAATTTTTCATTTAGTTTAGGAGGAGTCTAGACAAATAGAGCCGGGTGATACCTCAAACGGGTTTTAGTAACGAACATATGGCTTAACATAATCTTACTCAGCGTCTCATGTACGATGGTTACCCCTGGATACGCCTATACGCCATGAGATGCCCGTACAACTCGTACCTAACAGCCTAATTTTATAATCTACCTACGATCAAGACAGACTCGCAAGCGTAATGCTGGGTTATAGCCTCTAGCTAATCTCGATCTATGAATAGGGGCTTCGTGCCTAGGTACCTACCTCCTTAGGTAGGTAGCGAATTTGTCACCGCGTCTAGCAATGTAAGCCCCCTGAGTTGCCACCCAGACGGTTGACAGCCGTCTTACAGGTAACGGTAAGCCATCTAATGAAACACGTATCATGCAACGGGCAGTCGATCGGTCCCTACCTGGCTACTGTGTTGTAGACGCAGACGCCTATCAAGTTAAGACGGTAGACAGATAGGCCTGTGCGCAATCTCATTGGATGGCCGTGAGTAGCATCCTGTCGGTAATCTCTCATGTTAACGCGGTGGCGGCAGGCCACAGGCCAGCAAGAAGACCGAAGTGACAGCCAGCCAGCCAATATATCCAACGGGTCGCATGGATGCCTTCCTGCTCGAATCTTTGTGCTACACGCGTCGTAGGTACGATATTCCACCATGACTGCTGGGAAAACTCACCGGTTAGGTAACGACGGGATTTGGCTATGTCAACACGGCCGGAAGAGCTGATTGGACGGCGACCCGGGTGTTGCTGAAAAGGC